GAAAATCAGTAAAATGTGATTTTTTCACCCATTGTAGAGGGTAATATTTTGACTAATGCAAAGAAAAGCTGAAATATAAATATAATTGGAAAGTTCATTTACGAAGTATTAAGAATCCGAAGATAGTTTTCAATTCTTGGTCATGGTTTCTTTATTAAAAAATTATAAAATTATAGTGGTAGTGGAGCATTTGTTGCTCGGACTTGCTCGAAATTTTAGTTGAAAGGTATCAGAATTTCCTATTATATGAGTATGAATTGATTGAAAATTCAGGGAAATTATTTTCATACTTTCTAAATGTAGCATCGAACGGAAAATTGCAAATTATGAGGGTATTCAATAAATGAACTAAATTTTTAAAAAGGAATTATACCGAAATTTAATGTTACGTTTTCGTTATGAACAATGGCTAATTTCTTAAATTGACCCTCATGTCCTCCTTGAACAATTTGATCTGTAAGCCATTTAATTTTTCCATCTTTTTTTCTTGAGGATCGGATTCAAATGATTTCCAGTTGCATTTCATGGTATTTCAGTGAAACTACAATTTCAGTAACGCAATCTGATTGCGCTTGGATTCATTTGACGATCATTTAATCAAATAAAAACCCATTTGTTTTAAATGGAGATACGATCGAACTGATTGTAAGCTATCTGATTGCTGGAAATATAGAATTAAATTTTCGCCAAGCTTGAACTTGGACGCAATTTCTACTTAGATAAGACTCACATTTATGTATAACTACCAGTTTATTTTCGTCAATTTTATAAGGAAATTATGTTTATAAAAAATTTATATTTATAGTTATCATTTGACATAACTGGTCTGGAGTAACAATTCAATCCATTGGAGAGTAAAATTTCAGCCCCCCTCTGATGATTCATATTGATAGCAACTTATCAAGGGCAAACATCAATGATGAATGGCATTCATCCGGTTTCCCTTGGAGCTCCTTGTGATTTGGCAAAACGCCCGTCCACTCGTCCACAACCGGCACTGCAATGCTTTCCACCCTATCAGAACATATGTCTACATTCCACGGGGTAGCAGGAACGTGTCGTTAAATAATCCGACGTTCATGGAATGGGGGGTAAATCGCGTAGTACACTGGGCTCTAAACAACGGAACTACAAGAAGTGTAATAAAGCCATGGCTCGTGGCTTTGATTGGTAGAACAACTCTTGAAAAGTTCCTACATAACATTCTTCACTCTATCGTCTAGCCACCGGGGTACTCGCCTCTGGACTTTACGGTCTTGCCGAACGTAAACTACTGACTCCCGGTGTATTTACAGCAAATGCACGCAATTGGAATCATTGATTTTTCCCCCGAATAACCTAGAGCTCTGCACAGATGTTTTCAAATACTTCAGTCTTTCTTCAATCAAGTATTTCTTGGATTTTTATTCTTTTTCCACTGAATCCGTCCTTTTTTACTCGCAATTTGTTACTCACAGTATACCGCTATTAACCTATTAGTTTGCACAAGAACATCATTTTTCAATCCACTCGCATCATGATAAGGAATCACTGTTACGACGAGTCTTCAATAGAACAAAATCAAATTCTTTTAAGTAACATGGGGCTTTCAAATTCCTCGTAAAAATTCATTATGTTCATTAAATATGTGAATAAATCATAAAAATACCCGATGATTTGCCTTTTTTTTCGATCATGTGACCTCAAATTATTGCGACGAAATTTTTCAAGGAGACGTTGAGTAATTTGAAAATTTTTTAAAAACACCATATAAGCTCTTTATTACAAGATGATAAATCGTCACAATCTTCTGAACACAACTTTCAGTGACTTGTTTTCAATTTTATTTTTTATAGAAAAAAAAAGCTTCCCGAAAGTTAGATTGCGCTGGTCTAGTGATAGCGCATTCAAAACGTCAACTTCGGTTTTGTCCCAATAAAATGCTCTTACCACCTTCTTGCACAATTATCAAAATCTCACGATGAGTATATATAGTTAGCGTGTATATATTATTCACATATGTTCACCATATATCTATCATATAGATGCCCTATATAGTCATATATACATGAAATATAATTATTCCCATTATTATGTTTTCTGCCAAAGCTGCCGGTTTTTTGCAAAAGAGCAATATTGGGAAATGTTTTTAGACTCAAGAAATATCACAATTCATTATTGCACGGAGAGAAATATGTACGAAAAATTACTGATGTCGGATTAGTAAACGTGAGATATGGCACTGCACTGATGAAAAGTCGTGTGAAATTTCTGAAAAATCACTGCAGTTCTCCAGAATATTTACTGGACAGAGCAACGAAAATTACTGGGCTGATTCTCAATTTTCTCCGAAGTTCATTCGATGTTCTAAAATGTACTGCTAAAAACCTGTAATATTCGTACTAGTTATTCAGTTTTCACTCCACTTCCAGTAAATTTTATTGGATTTCTCATTACTTTTTCAGTGATGGAGCTGGAAAATTTTACTGGACTGTACCGTAATATTTAAGGTTAGGTTGTAATGCTCCGTCGTAATGGGATGCCAAACTTAATTATACGATATATTGTGAACTGTCTTGATCATTGTGATTAAAAAAAATAACCTTAGCATCTCAAAATGCATGATTCCGTAGACTTCCCACACGGTGAGAAAGTTGTATGAAAAATTCGTACCAGATTTGCTTGAAAAATTATCGAACTGCATAGTAAAAGTATTGAGCGATATGCATGCGTACATTCTATGAGTTGCTCAAGTTATTTTTTCAATTCGATGAGAGGAAGCAGTAAGCCATGTGTTTTTATAAGTGATTAGAAAACCGTACATTTTTAGCAATGGAGAGGCGGCCAAACGAATATCTTCTTTTTTTATTATGGAAGGGATCTTTGTGAAAAAACACAAACTCATGTTTTTAATTGAAAACCGGATCGTAAGTAAATTTTCAATTTTTGCTCTTATATGAAATAAATTATATCATAATAAAGAAAAAACAAATTAGAAAAAAAAAACTTCACACTTGTCGTGGGTTTTCCGTATTGTTTTATAGGTGTTTTACTATCCGGCTACAGCTGACCACTTTCATTTTAGCAGAACTCAAGGTTATTGATCTTCTTAATTTTATGCACTGTACCAAGTACAGGGTCGTGATTTGTGCTACCCCCTGACCCCTAATTCATTATCTGCTTTGTTTTATTTATAATTTCAAGCCGGGGTAATTACATGCCATCGTTGGGGAACCCATTCCTCCTACTAAAAGTACCCTTACGTTCACTTTATTTGTCCCAACGAGTATTCCCTCTAACCCAACGGTGAGCCATATTATTCTATGATTATTTCGCAGTTTCTTCTCTCATAATTTTTTCTATATTTCATTTAGTTGATTAAGTTCGATCAAAGTTGAGCCTCTAGCTTTCCCTTTTTTCGTTACCCTTTTTCTCCCATTTCAGACCAGCCCGCCCGTCATTAATAATGTAAAGAATTTTCCTTCATCATAGCCTAGCGCGGAATATGTATTATAATATTTCCAGCCAAAGTTACACACTCTCTTAAAATATAGATTATGTGAGGAAAACGAAAAACGTAATCCACAAAATGACAAGGAGGAACTCGATGATGATGTAAAACCTCCAGAAAAATATACAAACATACAATATAGGTTATTTTTAATTGATTGATTCATATAATTTTTTTCCGAATTTTCACCTACGTATTTTAATTAATATTCATTCATCAAATTAACGTGGTGTTTCAGGGGAAAAGGATATTTCTGAGCATTCAAAACGACAAATCAGATACTTTGAATACTTAGATTATGCTGAAAAAAACATACAAGAACGATTAAATAACAGTGAATAGTTTCTGATATTTTTTGATACACCGCACAGCGATATTTATTGCATAATTAATTGATATGCTACTAGATTTTAGGCACTTAGTAATTTATATAGCGTAACAGCGGCAACGCTGTACGTCTGTCATAGTAATATTTCAGCCGGTACAACAAACAGTGCGGGCAATATCGGGCGGAAGTGCCTATTATTTCAACCTACAAAGCAGCAGGGCTGAAAAAAAGCACGCTAAAAAAAATCTCCTTGTCCCATTGTCGTTTCTAGTGATCAAATGGCAGAATAACAAAATATTTTTTTACTGGTTTAGTTCAATGAAATTCTGATAGATAACTCTAAATTATTATTTATATGTTTTTTCACCTCATTTGCAGGTATATGCAGAAAATAAATGATTAGGAATTATTACGCCAAAGGATGGAATGAGGCGTACAGTCATACCTAACAATTTTAGCTAGCTCACTGAAAATAATTAAAAAAACATATTAATGATTATTGTTTTGATAAAATTTGCATCTGAAAATTAATGATTATCAAAGAACATGTGAATTCAAGGATAAAATTTTCTTCATGTCGTTACATTTGGGAAATTCAGAATTTAATATCACGTACTAACTTTTGCTTCCAATTGACTCTCCAATTCCTCCTTAACAGTAAATAAATTTAAAAAATTGCGACAATTTATCTTGAATTTTGATGACAATTGATTCGTTTAAGAGCCAACATGAAAAATTGACTTGATCCTTTTTTTGAACAAAAAAGAAGTGAACTAATCCTTTTTTGTTGTCAACAATTCGTTAACCGTTCACAAATTTTATTTGAAATAAAATAAATGAGCCATTCTTTTAGTATATCAAGAAGTAAGCGAATAAAATGGAAATTATACATTATCTTAAATTAACTGCAATATTTTTTTCTATTCTCTGATTCGGTATGCAATTCACCCCACACATTTCTCAAGAAATTTGATCATGTGATTCGTGGGATTGGGACGTAATTTTTATTCTGTATCTCTTCTTTCCGTGCCACGAATTATGTTGTGACATATATACATTCATTTTAATAAGTATCAAAGTAGTAACTTTGATGACTTTTCGTTTGATACGTTGCTCTTGTTGAAAAGTTTCACAAAAGATAATTTGTCTCTAGCCTTATTCAATTTATATTCTCGTTCGCAGGTACTCCTCCGGGCTATTGGTTGACGGTTTGCCGCTGCAGTGTCGACAAGTGAGAGATCAAGCAGGTAAGACGACATCCCCTTACCAAAATCCACTTGAAAACCCGTTGGTACTCGGTTTATTTTCGTTTTATCATTCGGCTCAGTTGAAATTCGATTTTACCTCTACTATTTCACCACTTGAATTGCTTTTCAACCATCTTTCTCCTTCTATTCCATTCACCTTTGTAAATGGGTGGAAAATTTCCAACCCCCACAACTTTGTAAACATTCAACGATTGTAACAGGTACGGAATTACTTTTAACTTAGTTATTTAACTCCAAAAGGCGGCTTCAAAATGTTTTGCGTTGGCGATGAGTTGCATTATCAAGAGAGTAATTAATTTTTAGACGTGATCTAGGGGAGCCTGAAGCGACGTGGACAGCTCAGGGTAGATATGATATTTTTTGACTAGCAAAATAAAAATAATATGGTTGGAATAACCCTTAACTCTTTGAAAGAGAGTAATTGAAAATAAGAAGTTGCGAAATAAATGATGTAAAATGGGAAATTGCCTCACTTTACAATCTGAGTCAACCAGTAATTGAGGATCATTCAGATCCTCTTCATATGGTTAAAATTAGACAACTAGAATGATAAGCAAATTCGCGAAGCAAGATCACTTGCTTCATCAGAGTGCTTGCCGATAGGTTCGTGATGAATATTTCAAGATCTGGATGAGATAATTAAATTTTCTCTTGAAATCGCTTACATGGTAAAATGAAAGCAACAAGCAGGAACCTGCGAAGTTTGGTTAACGTTTTTAATTTTAAGGTATTCATGGGTCATTAAGTCAATTCAAGCAGTGGACTCAAAATGACCGTTAATTTTCACAGCATCATTTGACGAAATCAGCGGGCCCATTTTACAATACAATTCTTAATAATGCTGCCAATCTCTTAGACATAGAAGTAGACTGCGGCGAGCATTTCATTTCCCAGGATGGCGAAGTTATTGTAATCACCCCGAAAATTTTAAATCAAATTTTCACTATATCTCAACGTTTCAAGGTCTTCTCAACATTGCTCGATCCTTCTCAAAGTTGGCATGCATGTGTGTGTACGTTTCTCTGAAAATTGTAGGTATACCTTCTAGATTCTAGAACACATCATATTCTACAATCTAGAATAATGATGTGATCGAGTTCTTTAGTTTTTTCCAGAAAACAACGAAGAGAAATTTCTTTATCATTTTTTGTGATGTTTATTGATATGATATCTTCTGAATGTTTTGTCGTTCATATTTTCATATTAATCCATATATGTATATAATGGAGAGGCTACAGACAAATGAATAAAACCGGAAAGTTATTATTGGTGTAACCGTGCCAATCAGTCAGACCCGCTAAAATTGTATTTTTTTTTTATTCCCAAAGCTAGAACCCAGAATGAATTTTTTTTTGTTCGGATTTCTATTGTTCCCGACTCCCGATAACCCCTGCATGAATCATATGGAAACGGGATATCTCCTTAAATACGATATGGAAAAGCTTCCAACTTCAATCTCACCCGCGAGTAGTTCTCCTTGAATGTTCTCGTTATCTTGACAAATGATCTCTCTAAAACCAACGCGCTAGCTGACAGTCATACCCACACCCGTCTGACCAGCAGCGTTGATACCAGAAATGGATGAAATGGATATATCCGATTCATCCGAACACTCATCGATTTCCTACATATAAAATATCCGCTATTGGATCTTCCAGTGTACCTATCTTCTAGCGTACTATCTATGATTTAGAAACAAAATTATAAATCCATGGATGTTAGCTTATATTACCCTTAGAAAATGCACATGATTTACATTTCTCAATGAAAGCATGATAATACGATACCGTTACTTTGGTATGGCAAATATCAGATAACACCGATAGTCTCCAGTAGATGGCGTCAGCTAAAGGCAAGCACTCTCCACTACGGAAAATAATACCGCAAGAAATGACAAAATCCTAGCACTCAGGAAGATTAGGCGAGCATAATGAAAATGAGCAGGAGCTAGTGTGAGATGGTGATACCATCGATAAAGTTTTTTTTTCTGGACGGTAATCTCGCTGCATTACAGAGTAAACCCTGTTTCAAGATTTTGATGACTCAAGTTACTGCCACTTAATGGCATACACTGCGAGAAAAAATTATTTTTGCTAAGAAAAGTAATCGTTCGTTTTTTAACACATACTTGAGATGGTTTTGATCTGATTTAGGTATAACAACAATTGATCATTTTTCCCACTGAGTGATTACAGCAGGGGAATCTGATTAAATTCCGATAATATAATTATCCCGCATGGAAAAGGGTAAATATACCAAATATATATCAAATCCGTTTTTTGGTTGTTTTTTCGGCGAATACCCCATATATGAAATATATTTGTCACCGAAAATGGCATATGTCAGATATAATTATTAGTATATATATTTTTGCCGTGAGGGATGATATTGCTTTTCAGGATCATTGTCGAATATTTTTCTAAGAGAAATAATTAATAATTAATAATTAAATAATTTCCTCTTCTGAAAAAAGATTGACGGAATCCATCAACATTGATAACTAGTAAAAGAATGCATTCAACGTCCTAACTAATATAATTATTACTCATCAGTTACTCATCTTTTAAGTAAAATTTTAATTTGTCTTTTGGGCTCATGGTTTTTTTTTATCTGAAAAAAAATGGTAAAAATTAATGAAACTCTGGAAGATATATTTTATTATTTTATTACATTCTTATTCCGATTGATTTGAGCTGAGGTTCTAATGATGCGTTTTCCTAAATCTCTTTAGGAATCCTTTTTTCATTGCATCAGAATACGAAATAGGCTTATATAAATCTTTTGCATTTTTATATTTCCATTCTCCCGGAAACCCGGAAACCCTGAAAGAATATGTAATTAATTTTGTTCCCCCAGTCGTCAATAATTTGATAACGATCACGCCAACTCAAAAATCTCCCAAAATTTCATGTTTTTCTATTTTATCTCCTATTTTCACTTGTATCCACTGCATTTTACACCATTGAACCAATGATAATGTTCTCACCGCTTCCGCTACCAAGCAAAGGTCATCGACTTTTTCACCTAGTTGGTGCGAACTTTTAGGATATGGGGCAAACTATTCCTCCGAAAAAAAGTTAGCACACATTTGTAAGTTTTATGGATAAATCTTAAGCCGGTACATAGATATTTTTTTAAACTCCGTTTGCCGTAAATTGTTACTTTTCCGGTATCCGTTTGTTAATTATCTCCGAAGAGAAATATGGGGAAATAAGGAAAAAATATCAGTTACTTTATTCTCAATATTTTCAATGAAGGTACTTGTTTTTTTTCTATAATTGAGATTTCACCTGAATTTGATATTCCAACGATATAAACGGTATAAAAATATTGTTTTTTTTTCACAACACAATCACTTCCTTCTAGAGCAATATAATAATCATTAATAACATCTAATCGAGACCACCTACAGCTGTGAAACTGACTCAGCTGTGAAAATGAGATTTTTATGCTAATACATACTTTTATCAAGTAAATAAATCCTTGGTAGAAATTTTTTTGAGCTAAGTTATCCACGGTGACACGTTACCGACAAAGTTACTCTTTTTCTGATGTACGTATTCCTGAGCAAATATAATCCCACTTGCCTACATATTTCTTATGCAAAAGTTAGTGTATATGTACCTTTAAGTTGTTCACAAACATAGATTGTTCAGTGTCATATTTTCAAGGAATATTTGCGGAGAAATTAATTAATTATATTACCAACAAGCTTTCATCTAGAAACTTTTTTTTGTTGACGAGTTTTTGATACATGATTTATGTAGAAGTATTATTAAGAGGTTATTCCCATAGATCATTATCTCTGCTCTCTTCTCCATAATCATATGCGAAGTTTGATGATGCAACTATAGCCATTCATTCGAGTGATTGACCTAGACTGTAGTGTTAACCTGAGTCTGCTAACCCACGAGACTATTTCCCCCTGCCGTTTTTCCCCTTGAATCAGGGTTGGCTTTTTTTCAAAATAGAAATATTAACATTAATTTTGTCTCTTGTTCTATCCTATTTCGGTGAACATTCTGAAGGTTTTGTTCCGTGACTGCGCCTTAAAATCTTCACGGAAATCACTGAATGGCATGGGTATTGCGACATCATTCAAACAGCTTGTGGCTTCCTTTGCCAAACGATCAGCGTCCTCGTTATCAGACACCCCAAAGTGAGACGAAACCTATGCAGACTCTAAGTTACCAGCATTGATTCCGACAATTTCTCTATATTTTCCTTTAATATTTAAAATCCATTGGTTGTGATGCTCATACTCGGTGATGAGACTGACTGAAGGGTGCTTAGTAAATCGCTGATAACGCGGAAGTTCTTTTCCGGATGTGCATAAGCACAATTAACGGCTTCGCTAAGTGCAAGACATTTAGTTGTGGATATCGAGGCTTTAGCATTAAGAGAAGAAGATTCTTGTACATTGAGTTGACGGCAGAAAATGCAGTTGTTTTGCTGCCATCGGTGAATATTTCCATTGCTCTAGTCGAGTAAAAGTTACTTTTCATAAGTAAATATCGAAACTGTTGCTACGTAAATGAAATGATTCCTTCCATTTACAGATAACTGTATTGATGTTAAAAATTTTGATGTACTCCTTCATAATATTCTACAATTGAAATCAAATAAGTACATTCACGTATACAATTAATTGAAATGACTAATTATTGCAATGAACATGCGTATACGTAGGAGGACAACTTTTTGAAAAACTAATTAAATACGGAAAATAAAGTTACAATCTTTGATGAGAAAAATAGAGAACAGTTGATTTTTCACTTTGCAAATGGAGGGAAATGTTTTGATGTTTTCAATTGAATGTGGACGCTAGGTTTGATGTTTTTCTTTAAATTCATGCGATGCTACCAATTAGAAATATCACAAAGGGTATCCAGGGATGAGGAAGTATTAATGGATTCGAAATAATAAAAAGATTCCTAGTAGATTTTATGCTGAAAAATAATTTTCTATATTCTTAGAAA